TATTATTCTGATAATGGCTTATCTGTTTATGTTGTGGATTCCAAAAGCTCTCTAATGTCACTAAAGTTAATCATTCACTCTACTTTGCTGATCCATTCATCCAATAATTCATTGAATATATACGGTTTACATATTTTTAAAAGCCTACTGTGCGGGCCTAGCTGGTTTGACTCAGTGGATAGAGAGTCAGCCTGTGGACTGAAGGATCCTGGGTTTGTTTATGGTCAAGAGCACATGCCTGGATTGTGGGCTCAATCCCCAGTGGGAGGTGTGCAGAAAGCAGCTGATCAATGATTTCTCTCATCATTAATGTTTCTATTTCTCTCTCCCTCTCCCTTCCTCTCTAAAATTAATAAAAATATAAAAAAACAAAAAAAAAACAACCCTATTTTGTGGCATTATCTGGATTATGTGTAGGAAATATGACAATATAGCAGCCAGCAAGGTAAACACAGTGCTAGTGCTAGGGATCACATATTTTTCTTTCCTGTCTAAACCATGACTAGACTGCAAGGTCTTCGAAGGCAGACAATGCAACTATCTCCTTTGTACCTTCAGTGTACCATTCTGTACACACATTCTGGGGACTGAAAACATATTTCTTAACATTTAAAAAAAATATTGATTTGAAAGAGAGAGAGATATTTTTTATTTCACTTATTTATATATTCATTTGTTGATTCTTGTCTGTGCCCTGTGTCTGGGGAATGAACCTGCAAACTTGGTATATTGGAACAACACTCCAACCAACTGAGCTACTGGCTGAGGGCAGAAAACATATCTATATATAAAAAGCCAGCAAGTGGAACGCCATAATGACCAGAACAATTGGTTGCTATGATGCCTACTGTGCCCAATGAACCAGCCTGATCAGGGGGTGGGGCCAGCCAGCCAACATCCTGTGGCCCCTCCCCACAGCTGGCCCTGCCCTTGATTGGACTCTCCCAGCCCAATCAAGGGCTGCGTGGCTAGCCAACCTCCCCATGGACCTTCCGCCAAGCAGGCCCCACCCCTGATGGGCTCCACCACCCCATCAAACTGAAATCCTACCCACCCCACCCTCATCAGCTCCACTCCTGATCCACCCCCCCCCATCCCAATAGGGGAGAGGGCTGGCCAGCCAACTCCCTATGGCCTCTCCCTCCAGCCAGCTCCATCCCCAATCAGTACCCTGCCTATTCTGGAGTGGGGTCAACTGGCCCATCACCCACAGCCCCTCCCCACAGACAGCCTCACCCCCAATTGGTCCCCATCCCAATCAGGGGTGGGGCCCACCTGCCAATTGCCCACGGTCCCTCCCCCCAGCCGGCCTGGCCCTGATCAGGCTCCCATTAGTGTGGGCTGGCTGGCCAACCTCCTGCTGTCTCCTCCTCCCAAGAGGCCTGGCCCTGATCCACCCTAATTGGGGCTGGGCTGGGCTGGCCAGACCTCACCTGTGCATGAATTCGTGCACTGGGCCTCTAGTTTTTTACATAAGTGAATAAATAAACAATGGCAACCTATAGTTTCATTCACTTCATCCAAACAAATACTAGTACCTTCAGTAAAACAGCTCTAATACATAGTTTCATAGTTGTATCTTTAGATCCCAGGCAATGTAAAATTATTTTAAAATTGGCTCATATGATTTAACTGATGTTTTACACTTAGCCTTGTTAATTGAAGGGACTCTCTTTCCTCCATTGTGGCCCTATCTGGTTTGACTCAGTGGATAGAGAGTCAGCATGTGGACTGAGAGATCCTGGGCTGCATCATTGTCCTGATATCAGTCCACAATTAAAAAATATAGAGATTTTTCTGGGCAGTAGCTTAATTACATTCCATTGATTCCTTTTTTACTCTACTGAGCTTCTAGACTCTTTTGCTTTGTTTACAGCTGTTGCATACATTGGGTCCAAGTTATTCTTCACGTTTGCCTGCTAAACATTTGGAATTTCTTAAATAACCAATAATTTAGGCAGAATTAGAGTTGATTCCATTTTATATTTTATTTTCTCTCTGTATAGAGTGGTCTAAAGAGGAGATGGTAGATGGGAAAGGAAGATATTTTAAAAAAATATATTTTATTGATTTTTTACAGAGAGGAAGGGAGAGAGTTAGAGAGCTAGAAACGTCGATGAGAGAGAAACATTGACCAGCTGCCTCTTGCACACCCCCTACCGGGGATGTGCCTGGAATGAAGGTACATGCCCTTGACCAGAATCGAACCCGGGACCTTTCAGTCCGCAGACTGATGCTCTACCACTGAGCCAAACCGGTTTCAACGGAAAGTATTTCTATGAGCTCCTTTTCACGACTAACTTTGTGATTTCCAATGTCTTTTAGTTTCACTTTTATATTTTGCATTTGAGATGTCCTTCTTTTTCTTCTTTAAGGAGACCATCTCCTTCCAACACCTGATTTATAACCATTTTATCTTTTAATTAGTTTTTTTAAAGCCACTTCTTTGTGTGGCATTTTAAATTTGTTGTTTACATTACTGAGCCGATAAGTGTAATGTTTAAGAAGGCAGGGTCTGTATTCTGGCTTCATCCCTTACTTGAGGAGTGATAACAGGTAGTCACTTTATCTCTAAGTCTTGGTGGCTTCATTTACATGCCGCAATGGAGATATTAATACCTGTCTCCTAAGGTTCTACCAAGGATTATATGGATGTGGATAAATTGCTTAGCACAGTGACTGGTAACTATTGCATATTATTGTCATTATTATTTCTTTTGCTGTAGTTGATATTAATAGTGTCTTAGATGGAAAACTCCTAGGGCCCTGGGGTCACGTCTATGAGTTCTCTTGTACTCCTGATGTAACACAGATTCCAGTACTCTAATGAAGCTTTCCTAGGAGAAAAGTGGATGAGAAGTGAAAAATGAATTAGTTAATAGTATAAGTTCTGATTCAACATACTTAAAAATATATATATATATATATTATTGATTTTTTACAGAGAGGAAGAGAGAGGGATAGAGAGTTAGAAACTTCGATGAGAGAGAATATGGATCAGCTGCCTCCTGCACACCATGCACACCCCCTACTGGGGATATGCCCACAACCAAGGTACATGACCTTGACCAGAATCGAACCTGGGACCTTTCAGTCTGCAGACTGACGCTCTATCCACTGAGCCAAACCGGTTTCGGCTCAACATACTTTTTGTTAGAAGAGATATTTTTCATTTGTAAATATACAATGAACTCTTACATTTAGTTTCATTGTGTAAGAGATTCAGACTTGTGAATATGAAAATAGTATTTATAATGTATATTTCATAAATGCATATAAATGAAGAAGAAACTTAAAACTGTAGAATAATCTAAATAGCCACCCTAAAAAATTACCCATGGCATTTTAATGCAGTGTTATTTTACCAGTACAAATTTAAAGTTCGTAGTAATATAATTAGTAACATGTAAAATCTTTATTACCAATCTTAATCTTTTGTTATATGACTGAAAATTATTGTATGGCAGTAAATTAAAATAATGCTAAAAATGTCAGCATAACAAAATTAAACTGAAGTAACTACTACAATATGGAGCACCAAACCAGCTAATTTAAATGCAAAATGCTTCATAAATGCTATTTATCTGAGTTAATGCATATTAAGGGCTTTAAGGAGTAGTTTGTGTAACTGAAATAAACAAAAAATAAGCACTGCGCAGCCATCTTTTCTGTTGTTTAACATGAGGAAAATATTAATTAGGTCTGTAATAGGCCACTTGAGGAAAATGTATCCGCATCACAGCTTAGTTAATATAAAGGGGCTGGCAGGCTTTCAGAGGCTTTTAAGAGGAAAGCTTGAAATGCTTAAAGTTGTCCTCATACAAATAATGGCATGTTGTTAACTATGACAGCTAGACTGAAGATGCTCAGAATATTAAGTCTGTGATTTGAAAAAGGAGTTTCAAAATATTAGATCATTTTTTATGTCATTCATAATGATTCTACCAAAATTTTGTTTTTATAAAGTGGAAATATGAATGGGTTTAAAAATAGGAGTATTAAAAAAATTAAAACATGCCCTGTATAGAAACTGGAAAATATAGAAAAGTGAAAATAATTACCTAGATTTTCACCGCCCATAAAATACCACACTTAATATTTAGTGTGTGTGTAATTTTGCTCCTCCTGGGTAATTTAAAAAAATTAAATAAAAGATAGTAATTATATCATACTAGAGGCCCAGTGCAGGAGATTTATACACTTGGGGGGGGGGCTGCGTCCCTCAGCCTGACCTGTGCCCTTTCACAGTTCAGGAGACTGCAGGGGATGGCCATCTGACAGCTTAGCACTGCCACAGAGCACCACAACTGCCCCTGCACTCACCAGCTGTGAGCCTGGGTTCTGGCTGAGCGTTGCTTCCTCTTTGGGAGCACACTGACCACCAGGGGGCAGCTCCTATGTTGAGCATCTGCCCCCTGGTTGTCAGTGTATGTATAGAAATTGGTTGTTCAGCCATTTGGTCAATTTGCATATTAGCCTTTTATTATATAGGGTAGAATATTTACAGTATATTTGTAATGTAAAGAAATCTAATGAAATACAAAAATCACTAATAATAATGAATCAACTGCGCTTTCCTTGTATTATTTCAACCTTTCTTTTTGAGACCTTTAAAAAGTATTTCTAGTTATATATTGATTCCAAATTTTGTTTTATTTGCATGTAATTTTGAGGGTTATTCTTAAAAACATGGTTAGCATTTAAAATATTTTAGTAGACTTTGAACTATAAATTTGAGAGAAACTAGATCTTATAGTGTGTTTATTGCCATCTATTGTATAATAATAAAAGTGCAGTATGAAAATTGACTGAATGGCTGAACAGTGGGACAATCATCTGGACGACTTTCTGGATGACCTTCAAGGTGAAGCTGGTGCTGCAAGGGCCTACTCGTGCACGAATTTCATGCATCGGACCCTTAGTAACTCAATGGTTGAGAATAGAACTTTGAAATGCCAGATGACACTACACATAGCAATTGCTTGTTTTATATTTTGTAGGTCCCCACACATCTGGAAAGTCCTGCCAGACATCAAATAAAATCCTCCATGACCCTTGACCACCAGATCCTCAATCAGACTATTAAACAGTCCTACACTTCAACGCAAAGCAGTGCACTTGTGGTACAGCATGGACACCCATCCCCAGAGAGTGACTCTGGCATCACCGGAAATCCACTCACCATGTTGCTAACTCTTGGGAAAGAAGATGACAATGTGGAATGGCAGGTATGTATAATGGCTTCTCATGAAAATATATAATGAAGTGTTTTTCTTAAAGTATTAAAAAAACGGAAGTTCACATTTTGATAGTAAAATTTCCAAATACAAATTCACTTAAGAAAAGAAGTGTCTTAATTCATTAATTTGTAATAATTATCAATAGTTATGCACAGTAATTATGCATAATAAAATATAACAATTTATGTCAATACTCATTTCAGATATGTATCAATATAGGAAGTGAAAATAACCTCTAACTAATATATGTTGAGAAATTTAGCTTTTTTTTAGGGGAGAGCATGGAAAGATCTTTGTTATAAAGTGTAAAAAATGAAAATATTTTCTTTTTCAATAACAGATTTCCCTCAGCTGAGAATTAAGCACAGTCCTTCCCAAGCAGAGTACTCAATAACCGCTGAAAGAATTATGGGTCCATTGAACATACTAGAACCTGGACTCTTACCACTTTACTGACAATTAAGCCAAAATTTATTCTGGAGTTATTTGGCTTTTGTTAATATAAACAACCTATACTTAATCTTTTTATGATAACCATTTAAAATGTATTTTTCTTAAGTTTCAGATATATAGCATAGTGATTAGACAGTTATATAAGTTAAAGTGTTCCCCTTTCCCCAGATATTTTCAGTCCCCACCTGGCACCATACATACATAGTTATTATTGACTATATTACCTATGCTGTGACTATCCATTTGCACTTTTTGATTCCCTTAACATTTTTACCCAATATCCTTCCTCACCCCCTCTATGGCTGGGTTTTGTATTAGACCTCTGCCATTTTAATTATGGTCTGTTTTGGTGTGTGCCTCTTTGAGTCCATATTGTTTAGGACTGTCTTTGTTTTATGGACTTGTGTGTCTTTTATCTTCACCAGGTTAGGGAATTCATTGTTCTCAATCCCTTGCTCTCTTGCTTCTCCTTTTGATACTCCTATGATGCAAATGTGGTTACTCTTTATGGTGTCCCAGAGATCCCTTAAAATACCCTACTTTAGCAGAAACCGGTTTGGCTCAATGGATAGAGCGTTGGCCTGCGAACTGAAAGGTCCCAGGTTCGATTCTGATTAAGGGCATGTACTGTGGTTGTGGGCACATCCCCAGTAGTGGGTGTGCAAGAGGCAGCTAATTGATGATTCTCTCTCATTGATGTTTCTAACTCTCTATCCCTCTCTCCTCCTCTCTGTAAAAAATCAATAAAATATATTTTTAAGAGAATACCCTTACTTAAAAAAAAATCTTTATCTTTTTTGCTGCTCTGATTAGGCGTTTTCTATTGCCTTGTCTTACAAATTACAGATTTAGTTTTCTGCTTCAACTCATCTGCTGTTGATTCTTTCAAGTGTATTATTTATTTCTTTTTTTATGTTTTTTGTGTCCCTTTTGATGCTTACTCTCTCTTTAACTTTCTCTGAGCTCATCCATTATTCCCCTAAATTCCTTGAAAATCCTTACAGTAAATTTTTCAAACTCTGTATCTTGTAGAGTGCCTGCCTCATTTCATTTAGTTCATTTTCTGGAAATTTCTCCTGTTATTTCATTTGGATATGCTTATTTGTCTCCCCATTTTGGCTGTCTCTATGTATTTGTGTATTAGGTAGATCTGCTATGTTTCCCAGTCTTGGTATGGTGGCCTTATATTGTAGGTATCCTGTGGGGCTCATTTGCATAGTCTCCCTGGTCACTTGAGCTATGTGCTTCAGAAATGCTTTTTGTGTGGGTTATGTGAGCCTGCTAGTGGTAGTTGTGTCTTGATTTTTGTTGGCCTGTTTGTGGATTGACTCTTGGCTCACTGAAAGCGAAGATAGACTTTGACCACAGTGTACAAGCTGCTTTGCAATGGCTGATCTCACAAAATAAAGTTACCCTCAGGGGTGTCTGGTGCATGCTGAGATTTTCCCTTGGGATGTGTCTCTTATGGAGCTAATTGTGTCATGCTCTGATGTGGTCTGAAGCTAACCAAAAGGTAGATGTGTTGGTACTGGAGCTTTTTGAGAGGGAATCTAGTGGAGGTCAGTGTCAGATACTGCCTGGGACTGGCCCTGGGCTACCTGTTAGGAGCTCCAAAGTAATCCACAAATTTTGGCTACCTCTGCCAGGCCTGGGTGCACATGGGAGGGGCCAGGATTCAGACCATGGCTGACTTACATTAGCACTGAGTTCAGGTCAGGTCAGCAAAAGGCCCAAGGCACCCTGAAATTCACCTCTGTTTGACAGACACCTGTTAGGCTCCGTCTTAAAAGAGTTTCTTGTGTTATGTAAGTTCTATGAGGTAGTTTCCTAGTGAGTCACTATGTAGAGGTCAGTGGTCTTTACCAGGTTGATTCAGATTCAAACTTCATGCTAGTGCTGGGTCTAAGGCCATTCAGCAATTGTCCCAGAGTATACCAGGGCCATCTACCACCTGCCAGAAACTCAAGGATCTTTGTGGTGAGGCTGTCTTAGGGAGTCATCAGGGTGGGCCAGCAGGATTCATCAGGCTAAAACCCACCAAGGTTTGTCCATGTGGAGGAAGGGCTCTACATAGGAATGGTGGCACCCATTAGGTGGGCAAGAGAAAAAAAGGCCCTCAACCTAGAACCACACAATTCAGTTTCTGATAGTCCCAGAATTTTCCCAGACCTCCTCAAGAGTCCTCCGTGAATGTCTTTACTCTGGGCCCCAAATGGCTACAGCCTGCAGACTCCCACACAGGGTGTAAGCTGGGAAGAGAAGAGCCACAGGAAGTCAGAAGGGTGAAGCCAAGTCAGTTTCCATATGATGCCATATGATGCTCTACCCAGTAAAGATGGCATCACTGGATGGTGTAGGCGGGCGTCAGCCTAGGACTTTAGCTGCTGTTTCATTAGCCTTCTCCATAAAGCCACACTACCCAGGCCCTCCCTGCATGAGACTCCAGTTTGCTTTGATTTGCTTTCCCTCCATGATGTTCAGGATGAGTGGTCATGGGTGAGATTTTGTGTGCTGGCCCTTTAAGAGGGCGCCTAATTTTCTAGCAGCAGCCTGTCATTCCCTGGCAAACAAATCCTTACTGATTTCCACGCCAGATGTTACATGGGCTCCTCTTCTCTGGCTCTTCTGGCTGGGTATCATGATTGGAGAATTCTTGTTCCTCGGGGCGGACCTTAGCAGCTGAACTATTCCTTTAGATTCCTAACGGCCCCATGTGGCTGTCAGTCTGGTTCTTTTCAGTGTCCACCCTTCCAGTGAGTCTCGATGTGGCTTCTTCTGTAAATCCTTGGCTATAAGACAAAGGTTCAGCTAGTCTTTATTTGGTTATTCAGGTTGACTGTTCCGTAATTTAATTATTCCATAATTTTGCTTTGGCCCTGGGAGAAGGTGAGGGTAACTTTCACCTACACGGCTGCCATCTTGGAACTCCCTCAAGATATTTAGCTTTAATTTTAAAGGTTTTTAACTAAATTAATTTACATTATTTATTAATAGTTATATTATTTCTACACATTAAAATAAAACCGAAAGAATTTTGAATAGAAGTACATATATGTTCTAGAAATATTCATTAGAATAAACTAATCTTCTTGCTCTTTGGAATTATATATGAAATTTTTGTACTATTACCTATTTATTCACTTCTACTTTTAAAGCATACTTGCCGACTGCTTAATATGAGGCACTAAGGATGCAAAATGAATGAGAGTATCTAGCTTCATAGAATTTATACTTATTGTGACTTAATTGTAAGTGAGCCTTCAAAAAATGTCAAAAAATGAATTGAACTGGGAAACAACTAGAACTGGGGAAAAGACTTTTTAAAAAAATATCTCAGTATAGAAAAACTATATTAAAAACTGAGCTTTCTATTATTTCTTTTTTTTAATTTTTCTTTTCCCATTTGATTTGTTAGAGGGAGCCGTGGTCCATGATCTCCCAGGTTTAATTTCCCAATATAATTCTTGATGAATATTACTAATTTCAAGTCACTGCTTTTTAGATATTAAGTCTATAGCCTCCAGGTATAAAAAAGTAATGCTTAATATCCTATTATTTAAATTCCAAATGATAAAGATTTTTATTGTGTGTATTAGTTTTATATTAATCTGGTATATTGTTTAATGAAATATAAAACAACCACAAAACAGGATTAATTGAAATCCAAAACTGAATATAAATCTCCACATGTATATTTACTTAAACTTTTCAATAGTTGGTCTATAAGGAATCCCCCCTCCCAAATGTAGAACTAGGTTCTCTAGTCACTCTATGAAGATCATAAAAATGTATGTAGAATGAAAATCATCTGTACAGTAAATATTAGAACTAACCCAGTACAATTTATCTTACAACCACCTTCTTCCAAAGTTCATTTCCTTCTGTGAGAGTTATTTCTAAAGAAAAAAAGACAAATCCCATAGGATATACATATGCCAGCCAATTCTGGGCAGAACTCAGACATGATCTTATTATATGTCTTAGGGAATACGTGTTCTAAAAAAGAAGAACAAATAATTAACATATGTCAGCCTTCTCAGTTTTTCTTAGTAAATGTTTTGTATTGTTAGGCCCACAAGTTACTTTTTAAAAAGTATTATAATAAGTTCATGCTTTATAAAAGAAATTAATGTGACCTTTGTGGGCTTTTTGGTGATATTGGCCAAAAGAAACTGCATGGCTTAGAAGGGTTGAAACTCCAGAGTAGTCTCAGGGGAATCATCACATTGATTACACACACACTTTTTTTTTTTTTTTTTTTTTTTTTTTTTTTTTTTAGTATTTATACTTCAAAATATGTATATAGAAGTCTCTCCCATCATTGATGTTCGTTATCATAATTTAAATCAATGTTATAGTTCTAATCAGTGTATGCTCTTTTTGAAGTTGACTTGTGTACACATTTTCACATACTGACAAGAGGTGTCCTATGTTTTGCAATATTCCAATATTCTTTTATTGATGCTAGGAGTCCACGTAACAATGTAGAACATGTGCATTCTTAAGAGTCACGCACCAAGAGGTTATAGCTACTACTTACTAGCTATGTGGTCTCAGTTCTTAACCTTTCTCATAAACATTTCTACATCTTGAAGAATTGTTTTGATGCTTACACTTTTTGTTGTTATTAATTCTCAACCGAGAATATTTTTCCATTGATTTTTAGAGAAAGTGGAAGGGAGGGGGAAAGACAGAAAGAGAGAAACATCATTGTGTTGAGGATTGAGCCTGCAACTAAGGTATGTGTCCTAGACCAGACTTGAACTCAGGACCCCTCATTTCAAAGGCTGATGCTCTATCCACTGAGATAAACCAACTAGGGCTGATACTTACATTTTGAAAGTTCCTAACCCAAGGGCAGTGTGGAGGCTCAGGAGATGGTGGGTGTTGCTATCTTTTGGTATTTCTTTCTCCTAAGCTTGTCCTCCTGTTACATTAAGGAATGTTTCATTAATTCAGAGAAGATCCCAGAAACCATAGCTACCAGAGGATAAGTCCATGAGAGGATCCTTAGATTCAGGATTTGAGGAGTGGAACTAGGAGTAGCTTGGTGAGTAAAGGCATCTGAGACAATGAAATACAAAAATAAAAAGCAGCATTTTATAATATGGGTCTTTGCAGGATAAAATCCAAATTTGTACTCATGGCACATAGAACCCTTCTACACTTAATCCTTGTCTCCTGACTCACACTGATGATAGTGCTCTGTGTTTTAGTCCTATTGGTTTCAGCCATATGATTCTCACAGGGGCCACGTTTTCTCTTTTTATATCATTTCTTGACCAACTACCCATTCATTCCATGTGTCTGCATAATTTCAACTCACTCTTGGAAATTCATTTCAGGTTTCTTCTCTAAGGCACTTTCCCTGGTGGTCCTGGATGCCTATTCTCTGGGTTTTTATCAAATGGATAAAAATTTAACATATCATAGGATTTTCACAAACTACATTTTAATTATTCGTTGTCTGTTTTTTCTTATCTTCTGTAACTTTTAGGAGCTCCAAGTTGAGGGGAAGATAAAAGAAAAAGTAAGCACATAATTATAACATGTAGAAAGAGCAATGGTATGTGTAGATAGGAACAGAGATATGCTGTTCTTATCAGAAAAATATCCATAATAAGACTTAGGGTAAAATGGCTAATGAGATACTGAGCCAGGTGAGATAGCATAAGCCAAGAATAGAGATGGGAAACAGCATGGGTTGAGCAGAAAGTGAGAAGCAGATTATGCAGATGGTGGTCAAAAGAGCGTCCAGAGAAGCAGGCAATAGACAAATCACAGAACGGCTGGTACCCTGTTAGACAATATCACACCCTTTAAGGGTTTAAATGTGGGGCTATATTGACATCATCAGGTTTGACTTTAATCTTCTTCTGTCAGCTATGTAGGAGAAGAAGCCTGAATTGAGAAGTTATTTCTGTAGTACAGTGAAAGATGGTGAGGCCCTCTATGTGAACATGTTAGGACTGAAGTATCTGTGAGCCCACCATGTGGAGATGCTGGTGACAGCTAGATATTCAAGTTTCCTTGAGGAGAAGTAATACAGACTGAAGCAAGAGATGTGAGAGTTGTCTGCATACAGGTAGTACTTGAAAACTTAAATGAGAGAGTCCCTGTAGAGCATGAATGTACTGAGGAGGGTAGTGAACTGGGATAGGATTGAGGATATCACCAACATTTGAGGGTGCTCAGAGGAGAAGGGCCATTGACATAATGCAAAAAGATAAGCAGTGTGGTGTCCCTGGAGCTAAAGAAAGAGTTAGTTTATAGAAGGAAGGAATGATCCACACATTCAAATGTTGTAGTTGAGTCTAGTAAAATAAGGACTGAAAAATGTCTATCAAATTTGGAAGTAAAAAAAAAAAAAATCAAAGAAAATAGCAACCAAAAGAATTTCTTTAGGATAGTAGGCAAAAATCATTCCACTTTGAATTCAGAGTTTATAGCAGGGGGAAAATTGAACTCCATGGATATTTGGGATGGTTGTGCAGAAAGATAATAGGACAAAAGCATAGAGAGTAATAAAATAAAAATTGTGCAATTGATCTGCAAGAGGGTCAAGACTGGATGTAAAAGGAAGTTTTTATTTGATGAGTGAGATAATGGAATTCAGATTTTAGAAATGAGGTAATTTAGAGGATGACATGACCTAAGGAATGGTATAGAGAATAGGTGAAGGGTTAAATAGATGATAGTGGTGAGCACTATCATTGATATTCAAAATATTCATCCATAATTGTTGCTTTATTTTTACATAGAATTCTGATGGTTGTTACTATAGGTATTTTTAAGTACATATGCCTTTCTGATTGCTTGGTGTTATTTTTTCTTTAAAATCTTACCTTACATCTTATATGGCTTAATGCTAAAGTTGCTACTGTGGCTTTCCTCATGGTCATATTTGTGGCACAAGTTTTCACTTTGTTTTAAGCTTTCTCTATTGTTTTATTTTAAATGTATCTCTTATAAATATACTATTGCAATACCTTTCTAAAACCAAATTTGAGAGATTCTTTATTAGTTTATTAACTTATTTACATTTTTGTAATTAGTGTACTATTAGGATATAATAGTTATCTTTTTTCATATATTTTTTAATTACTATACATTCTATTTCCTTATTTTCTATCTTTTCTTTTCTATCCATCATTGGTCACATTAAGCTTCTCTCTCTCTCTCTCTCTCTCTCTCTCTCTCTCTCTCTCTCTCTCGTTATTTCTAATGTTTAAAGTCACATGGTTGTATGTTTTATTTTTAATATCTATATCATTGTTTAACAATATCCATGTCACACTTTTAAGTAAAACTGTATCTGAGTATGGTCATATGATTTCATTTCTTTCTTGTTCATACAGTCATTATATCACAAAAATTTCATTGCTATTTACTCATTCTTTTTTTATATTTTTATTGATTTCATAGTTGTAGTTATTATCTGACTAAATTACCTCCTGAAAGAGTGAAGAGTATTTTTAAAAGGTACTTTTTTCTTTAAAGCTTCTGAGTTTCTATGCCTAAAAAAAACTTTATCTCACCCATATACTTACAGGATATAGTCTTTGTTTTAAATGTTTAGGTTCAAAGTTACCCACCTTCAATACTTCAAAAATTATCCACATTGTATTCTAGCACCCTGTGATTTTGAAAAGCTTGATTCTTGGTCTTTTGTAGACCTTTATTTTTAAATCATTTGCATCTTATAAATGATTTCCTTTGTCCTTGAACCTCAGACTTTCTACAACTATTATATCCATTTTGATTTTAGTGTAAATAACATGTTCTTTTTCGTATTTTATTATCTTCATCTATCACTTTGAGGGTGCTTATTTTGCAGATTTGTAATTATCCTTTTGTCTGATCTGTTAATCCTGTTTTATCCGATGCAAAATGTTATATTTGTTGGTTTTAAAAAAATATCAACTAAATTTCAAGATGTTTAACTGTGAAGAGTCTTGGAAGCTGTAAAGCAACGTTTTGGACTGGATTTTAAATCTTTAAATCATTTTAGGATAATAGAAGAACCAACTTCTTCAATAAATTAGGGGAACAGATAGTTATGTCGGTGGATGACAGAAATAAGAAATAGAGGCGTTAAAGGCAAAAACAGAGCCTGCAAGGATGAGGGAACCACCACGTGTAGGAAAGAAAGGGTTCTCTTTGAAAAAAGAGAAACCTTAGCATGGTTACAGGCAGGTGGGAAAAATATAGAAATGCAAGAGACTGCGTTAAGCATACAGCAAACATAAAAGGGTGAATGACTTATTTGTAGCTGTTACCGAAACTATCAGAGTACCCCGAAGAAAAATATTTATTTTAGGTCTTCTTTACATTTGTTTGGAACACATTTACTGTCCAGTTAATGGCAGAGAGTGAATGAAGGAAATATCATGACAAACAAAATAGAAGCAGAGGCATGGGTACATAGGGAAAAAACTAACATGTCAGAGCGGAGGAGGTGTGGGGGACTGGATGAAGAAGGTGAAGCGATAGCCCCAAACACATACACATAACACACAGACAGACAGCTTGTGGTGATAGTCAGAGGGAAAGGAGGCGGGGGCTCTGTGCAGGTGGGGGCTTCGCTTGGGGCGATGGGCACATGATGCACTGTGCAGGTGATGTTTTATTGAGTTTTACTTGGAACCTGCGTGGTTTTGTGAGCCAATGTCACCTCGGCAAATTCAATGTCATAACAATAAAGTCAACTAAAAAATAACAAATTAAAAACATTTTCCCATGGGAAAAGAAGAAATATCACAAAATTAAAATTTGAATTTAACGACACTAAATAATATACTGCAAAACTTTCAGAGACTGGACTAACCAAAGAAGCAAAACATGCATATTTATTATCCTAGACCCTCTTAATGCACATAGAATAACATCTAATGTTCAGACAATGGTCTAGAGCTACACTCTTGTTTATGGTACCCACTAGCCATACGTGGCTCTTTAATTTTAAATCAATTCAATGCAATCTTTAAATATTGAATAAAATTAAAAATTCAGTTCCTCAATTGCACTAGCCACATTTCAGAGCTCAGTAGCCACGCGTGGTTAGTTGCTGCTATATGGACAGCACAATTGAGGATATTCCCATTACTGCAGACATTTTTGTAGGACAGCACTGAGGATTTTACAATGTAAGTTTCTTGCCTGATTTTCAACTTTGTCTGAAACCTCTCTTGCCCTTGCTCACTCCATTTCCTTCCCATGGGTCCTCTCACTCTCACACACTCTGAGCTTGCTCCTAACTTAGGGTCTTGGTCTCTTTTGATTTCTTTCCAAAGTCTACCCTTTCCCATGTTCTTCATGCCTCTGTCCAAATATCAGTAAATTCTTCTCTGACCATTTTCTAAAACAATACTTTTCCCCTTCAGGCTCTGCTGACTTCCTGTTTTAACTTCTTCAGGCCACTGTTGTTGAGCTGTGCATTGTGTGTTTCCTAACTAGATCTTGAGCTCCAGGAGAGCACAACCGTTGTTTCTAGATTCCCAGGATTTACAACAAGGTCTGGAAATAAGTGTTGCTCAATAACTATTTGTCAAATTAATATATGAATAATGTCCTGATTTTTTGGCATATGACCTTTGGGGCATCATAGTAGATGCCTCTGAACATTTAATTCTCTAAAGTTTGCAAAAATTCTGCTTAGAAGATATCATTAACAAGAATCATAAAATATTTTTATATGTATCCCAGAATTTACACCTGTATTTTCTGCACATCATGGGAAGTTCAGAGTATCACAAGTTATATGAACTCAGCATTCTCTCTGTGTGTGTCCACACGTATTTTTAAAAATTTCACTGAAGAGATACAATGAGAAGTAAGAGCGTTAGCCAAGCTAAAGAGAAGTGAAGAAGGCTGGCAAGCCTGGTATGTTTAAAATATAAGTTTCGTAAATCTCCAGCCAAAGAACAG